CCCCCCCCCCTCCTATAACTCCTCTTATTGGTGCCGTGGGGGTTTCGTCACGTGCAAAAACCACCACGCATGCAGGTAGGGAAACCCCCGAACTTGTTCGAGGCCTCGCCTGGCGCTACACCTGGCAAGGGCAAGAAGCGCAGGCGCAGCAGCGGCAACGAGCGGCATCATCGAATGTCGCTACCACTGCCGCCGCCGCTGCCGCCATTGCCACCGCGGCAGTTTGCCGGCGGCGGCGGCGGCGGCGGCGGCGGCAGCGGTGGGGGGGGACTGCTGGAGCAGCTTCGCACAGAGAAGTTCGCTGTGGCGGTTTGCTGGTCGGAGAAACTCGCCCCTTGGGCCGAACTCCTTGGTCCCACCGCGGCAGAGAGAGGGGCGGAAGTGCCGCCATCGGTAGGAGTGGGGATGGGGCTAGGCGACGGTGGGGGTGGTCGTGGAGCTGGCGGGAGGGGCGTCGAGGTCGTGGGACACCAGTGGCTGGTCAGCTGTCTTCAGCAAAATGTGCGGTGGGCGGCACCAAAGCAGTAGAGGCTTCGGTTATATGAGAGATTTCCTAAGGGGAGGGTACGGACTTTGTTGTGAGGGGTTAGATGTGACTCGCACCGGCGTGAGAAATGCGTATTGTTTGTTCTACGGTTTGAGAGAAGATTGATTTTGGAAAACGTTTTCGGCTTGTCGCGACCCTCTCCTAAACCGTAGTGTAGTGCGCTCTTTCTGTGGATATGCACGTGACGTGTCCAGGCAGAAGCACCAAAGTTAGGTGTGGATGTCAGAAGAGATTTCCACCGGAGGGTGCTCCTGCGTGGCTGGTCTTGCCGCTTTGGCGAACCGTTCATTCATATCACCCTGGCGCGTTGCTTCGGTGCGTCCCGTGTCTCGCGGAGAGACCCTTTCCACGACCTCGCCGATCGCACGCGTTTGGATGCATGCCTTTGTTGCAACGACTGTAGACGGAGCCCGAACGCCGCAGACCCCTCACCCCTCTGAGTTTGGACCCCCCAACAATTTTGTTTTTTTTGTTAGCATCGACGAGCACCTGAGCGTTCCATGCACAGATGCAACACGGTCTCCCTCGCATCCCTGAGAATTGGACCTCCTTCGCGAGAAATGAGGAGGTAGGACAGGGAGGGGGTACGCAGACCCTACATCCCTATTCCCTATCCGAACTTCTCCGAATGCATGCTTTGTCCAACATGTTAATACTTTTCAGTGAAGAAGCCCTTCAAAGGCTACGGTATGAATTTGAACCCCAGCGGGTCCCCCCGCGGCAAAAAAATGGTCTTACTTTTTTTTTTGTGTGTTTGCAGCGACGGGTGGACACAAGGCCCTACCTGTTGTCGCCCCTCAAGAAAGACGACGCGGTTGGAGCGGAGGAGGAAGGGAAAGAGGAAGGGGGCAGGGAGCCGGCGTTCGTGGTGCCCATGTACGCCTGCCAGAGGCCTACGCCAATGAAGCACCACAACCACGAGGTGTGTGGGAGAGGTACTCATGTAAACCCATGGCGTAGTCGTTAGATCATACACGTTGCATCCGTGCAATGCTACCGGGCCGTGGCGATATGCTGGGATTTCGCCGGCCCAGGCTAGGTTTCACACTGATCAAGACCAGAACCTGGTCGACATCCTTGCGTTTGCTGTGTCAAACCAGATGTGCCATGGGGGCGCGTACGCATGTCGTGCATGCCTTTAGCGGGTCGACCATTTACCACGCGTCCTGGAGGGGGCGGAGCGTTGGGTTTCCCACAGCACCGATCACCGATGGCCAGTCGTCCTTTGCTACTTTGCCAAGGGTGGTCCGTCTCTCGGCGTAGTACCGGCTGAGCGGCACCAGATGCCCTCCCCAAAATGATTTTGATTGTTGTTGTTGTTGTTGTTGTCGTTGTTGTTGTTCAGTACCTTCTTACGTACGCACCGGTCCAGCTGACGCGCGGACGCCATCCGCGGCCACGGGCCAACCTACCGCTAAGAAAGGGTATACACTATTGTACCACCTACGTAAAGAAAAAAGAGAACACAAAAAGGGTACAAAAAAATCACCACGAACGCGACGGCAGCAACAAGAACCAAAACGGCTGAACGCATTGGAAATGAGCTGGGATGACGCGAGTCGTCATGTGATGTGTGGCACATGTAGGCGACGACACCAACGCGACCTTGACACGCAGGTCACCGACGTCCTGGATGCTATGACCAAGATGTACAAGGTCGTCGGAGATTGGCAGAGGGCAGACTCCTTCATGAGGCTCTCCTCCGTCTTGCGATTTCTCGACAGAAGGTGAGACCTTGTGTGATCGTACACGTGATTGTGCATTCGGCGTGGCTTGTAAACGTCAGCGCTTTCGCCGCATGAAAATCCGGTGCTTGCGAGGTCACCGCATTTGTGGAGGGAGGTTATCCGGCTAGCACGCGCTTCTTGCCGCGCGGCAGCGATGTTGGAAGGAAATTATTTCAGCTACTGATCTCACCGTCGACTCGCATCGAGCTCTAGGTTCGTCTCGATTTGGAGATACAACACAGCCGAACGATGTTGAAGATCGTTTTTCGTTTTTTGGTTGTGGTTCGGACGAATGGAGTGAATAAGAGGTGGATTTTTTCCGTGCCTATGTATCAACTCCTCAAGGAAAGATGAGTCTTTTGGTGGCTACTTTTTTTTTTTTTTCTTGTCTGGGCGAATAGTCTTGGACCTCTATCGAGGCGATGTTCTTGATGCTGTGCAACTACTACCTGCAGCATTCCCTTCCCGCGTTTTTGCAGAGGATGCCCATGCGCACGGAACAACTCCCACTAATCTTTTTCGAACACAAAGTGTTGTGTGTGTACTTAGGTCCTGTTTATTATGGCGACAGTCCCCCCATATTTCGTGGTGAGACGTGTACTACACTCTTCAGTGTATGTAGAGTAATGGTGCGGAAGGAAAATATATGAATTGCAACATGTTGTTCGTGGTGGCATTGCAGGATACGGTCCGGGAGCGACATCCGCCACGTGCACCACGTCGGAGAGCGGATGGTCGAGGCCGTCGACGAGATACTAGAAACCGGCACCCTCGGCCGATTAGAAGAGCTCAAGGTAAGTCTTGCATGTAGGTATGACGGTTTTTCGGCATCTGTTGGATGTGATACTAGAGACGGGCGCCCTCAGCCGATTGGAAGAGCTCATGGTACGCCTTGCAGGAATAACGGTCCTCGCCACTTTTGGGTGCGATTTTTAGGTATGCATGTATGCAGATGTTAAGGTATTGCCATCGCGATCGCGTGGTACCCTCACTTCACTCTGCGATGCCCCTCGCTCTGTTGATGCGTGTGTGTGTTGTGTATGTTACAGAGGGCGTCCATGTTTTGTGCAGGTTGAACAGTGCCAATGCCCGGTATAGTGCCCGTGTTCTCGGTAGGTACACTTTTTCCAGGTCATTGTCAGTACTATTTATTGGTTCCGGCCCGGTATAGTGCCGGTGAATTCTCTTGGCACATACCGGCACGAAACTGGGACTCCTTCTGTATGTGTGTTGTTGTGTTTGCTTGTTGCCGGCTGGCACACGCTGCTGCACCTGCAAATGTGCGTACATGTTGTTCGCTTGTTCCCAGCTGGCGCACGCTGTTGCACCAATGCCTAGACGATGACGGGCTGCAATAGCCGATGGTCGATCGATCGTCTCTGCGCTGAGAAGCGCACTGGCTGGACCAATAACTCATAGACCATTGAAGACACATAAATATATCTGTTATGAGATGGAGAGTGCCATCTCTACGCCCGATATAAACGCCTCCAAAGGTTGAACGCATTCTCAGTGGGAATCCTGACGAAGGCGAATGAGGCGGAGGGCCCCCGCAGCCGATAAATTACACACACACACAAGCATACACACAGTTAATCCAGAGAGTAGCGTCGACTTCCCGAGTCCCAGTTCGTGGTCTTCAGAAGCATTTTGTGTCTTCAGCCGCACTGAGACGGACGTCTCTTCATCGATCAGCCGGTTAGCGCGGTCGATGCTTACAAGGAAAGAAACACACACACACGTCCAACTCGTGCGTCCCCCTCGCGTCGGTAGCGCCCTTTCATTCGAAGGCGCGTCCGTTCGTGTTTTTGACCCCGCTACAAGATTGATATCGTATTTTCATTGGGTAGTGCGGTCGATGCAAATATATGATAATAAAAATACGCTCAAACGTACACACCAACACAAACGCCCTGGACGCTTCTTGTATTTTTTTGTAGAGCCACCCCCGGAACCAGGTGTGCCAGGAGCTCATGAAGGTGCACGGCGTAGGTTCGAGGACGGCCAAGGATTGGTACAACAGGGGCATCCGCAGCGTGGAAGATGCGCGGAGGACTCTCCTCCCCAACGACGACGACACCGAAGGTACGTCAGGCCGGTGTGCCGGATGCGGGGCATTGTTGTGGAAATAACTTGCACACTCCACACCGCCGTTTCTGCTTTTATTCATTTATTTGTTTATTTCCTCCTTTTAATTTTTTTCCACGCGTGCGCCTTCTTGTTGCTGCTGTCTGGTTTGTGTATTTCGTTCCATCGGCAAGAGGGCACAGAAAGTCTATCCAACCATTTCAAACGCGCACCTCCTCTCTTTGCATTTATTGTCCTGTTGGCGCTGCTCTGGGGCGACAGCAGTCTATTGCCACTCTCATTTGTATGAAGGGATTTCATCTGTATGAAGGGATTTTCCGGTGGTGTGTGGGAAAAGCTGCTTGCTCTGGACAGCTCAAAAGTCTCCCCGAACAGTCTCTACTGCTATTGATCTTGGAATTCGAACACAATTGCTGTTTTTTTAATCCTACCGGTGTTGTTTGCCAACTCAGGTGAAGACAAGCGGCCCAATCTCAAGCCCGAGGTCGTGATGGGACTGAAGCACTTCCACGACATGCAGGTAAGTGTTTGGCAAGATTTTATTTTGGCGTGCAGGCAAGCGTCTATGTTGTCAGATGTTCTTGCGTGAGGCGGAATCAGGTAGTACAGAAGCGAATACAAGGTCCCACATGTAGTCAGCTCTAACGCTGTCGAAAGCATGAGACGCGTTTGTCGAGACAGGATACGACAGTAGGCAGGCAAAAATGCGCTCAGTTCATGTTTTGTTTTGTTTTGTCGGCCCCTTGGATACGGGCGACATTTTCTCTCGTCGAATTCCCTCGAGGATGTTTTGTGTAACGGTCAATGTGTCATCACGCACACCCTGCTTTGTGATGTAGTCGAAAAGAAAACATCAGAGCGTTGTAAGCTTTCACCGCCTCAGAGCAACGTAGGTGCTCGTGTATCAGGTACACACAGCAAGCAATTGTTCCCGCAGGTATTAGGGGAACAGGATATGAACACAAGTTTTGTGTTTGTATGACAATCAATCCGCGCATCCCAATCATCAACAACAACACAATCAATCCGGGCGTCCCATTCAGCTACAACACCATCACCAACAGTATGACAGCAGCAGTACCACCACCATCACCAACAACGACAACGACAATGACAACAACAACAACAACAACAACAGGTGCCGATTGGGAGGGACGAGGTCATCGGCATCGCCGACGAGGTCCGGGAGGAAGCCGAACGGTTCGGCCGAGAGAGGGATCCGGAGGGGACCTTGCTCTTTGAGGTCAGAGAGAGAGAGAGAGAGCTTCGTGTTGTTGCCTTTGGTTGCAAGAGTGGACTTTCAGGCGGGACGTCCGTCTGTTGGACGCTTGGTACCAGAGAGGGCCTTGCGGTCAGAGAGAGCTCCGTGTTGTTGCCTTTGGTTGCAAATGAACTGCCAGGCGGGGCGCCCTTCCGTTGGACGCTTGATGTCAGAGAGGCCCTTGAGATCAGGGAGAGCTTCGTGTTTCCGTCGGTTGCACGAGGGGAATTTCATGCGGGCGTTCTTTAAGCGCTCTCCTGTGTTGGACAATTGATTGCTATCAGAGAGTTTATTGTTGCGTTGGTCGCACGAGCGGAACAAAACACCAGGGGAGAGAGACGCCCCCCCGGAGAAAGTGCTACAACATGAGCAGAGGCCTAACAAAGCGAAAAAATGGTACGGAAAAAAATAAGGTAAATCACACGAGGTCCGGTTTGATGAAATGAGAAAGGTAGAACGAGATGAAAATCTACGACTCAGATGTTATTTTTGTTTTGCAGCATTGCTGTTGTTGTGTTGTTTTCATTTTGTTACGTATTGTTTCCTCAGATCAACGTGTACAAAAGGAGGTACACCAATCTCATTTTTGTCGTGTTGTGTGTTTTTCTCGCATCAATCCAAACAGGTGTGCGGGGGGTTCCGCAGATCAACATGTACAAAAGAAGGTACACCAATCTCATTTTTGTTGTGTTGTGTGTTTTTCTCGCATCAATCCAAACAGGTGTGCGGGGGGTTCCGCAGATCAACATGTACAAAAGAAGGTACACCAATCTCATTTTTGTTGTGTTGTGTGTTTTTCTCGCATCAATCCAAACAGGTGTGCGGGGGGTTCCACAGATCAACGTGTACAAAAGAAGGTACACCAATCTCATTTTTGTCGTGTTGTGTGTTTTTCTCGCATCAATCCAAACAGGTGTGCGGGGGGTTCCGCAGGGGGAAGGAGACCCTCCACGACGTGGACGTGCTGGTGTCCTTCCGGAGGGGCAACGGAGAACCGGGGCACCAAGGCTTTGTGGAGGTGCGACCTTCCATCACTTGGATACTTACCTGCGGAGATAAGGCCTCGAACACTAGACTACTTATTTGTGGAGGTGGGGCCTCAGGAGCACTTGATGGATATTTGGTCGAGGGAGAACAAATCGTAGGTGTGGAAGTGAAGCCTTCGAAGACTTGGACTATTTCTTTGTGGAGATGTGGCCTTCAAATACTTGAAGAGTATTTGATCGAGGGAAAACAAGCTGTAGGTGTAACAGAGTGTGGTTGTTTGTGTTTGTTGTTGCTGTCGACCACGCTAGCCGGCCGACCAATAAAAACACATCGTTCCTGAGTACGGCTAGAAAACGGGAAGCGCTTCTCAAGGCCGCGGTCTAGGACCCCGGGAGAGGGAGAGCGGGAGAGAGGGAGAGCGGGAGAGAGGGAGAGCGGGAGAGAGGGAGAGAGATAGCGTGTTTTGCTTTTGCGGACACAGAAGTGAATAGATCTGATGCGTCGTCCACAAGACCGAGACATTGGTGCTCACAAACTCAGAAGCAGAAAGCTATCCGCGCTTATTTAATCATATACCAGAGAATGAAAAACGTCCATGCCAGGGGTTGAAGGAAAGGCTCATGGAAAGAGGAAAGCTGTGCGCCACGCTGTATCAGGGTCAGATGGGAGGCTTCACCAAGGCAAAAGGGGGCCAGGCCCCACAGCCCAAGCTCGAGCGCGAAGAGGTGACAAGAGCGATTCGATGCTCGTGTCCGAGTTTTCTTTACCGTGCGTTGCCATTGGCTGCTCCGTGCTTGTGCTGCTTGTGTCGCAGACGCTGTTGGATGCTGGTTGGTCGTGCTTGCGGCTGTTTCTGTTGCTGTTACCGACCCTGTTGGTGGTACTGGTGCTGCAGCAGCTGCTGCTGATGTTGTTGTTATTCGCGCGTGTGGTTATTGTTGCTGCTATTGCTGCTGCTGTTGCTGTTGCTGATGCTGATGTTGTTGCTGTTGCTGTTGCTGTTGCTGATGCTGTTGCTTTTGTGGCTGACAATCTTGTCGCGTTTGCCGTGGTGCGTGGTTGAATTTGCTGCCGTTGTCTTGACAGCGGAATGCTGCTCCGGCTGAACCGACACACAGAAAACAGAGAGCAGCTGAGTCCTCTTTTTTCTCGAGTGTAATTGTGTGTGCTGCTAAGCAGCGAGAAGGGGTTGGTACTCCAACAGCAACGAAAGACGGGAACATCAAGTCGGCTGCCGATCTTGGTTGTTTGTTGGCGGAGGAGACAGTCGTGTCTCCCCGCCAATAAATTGCTGCTCGAGTTCAGCGAGCACGGTGAATCATGTTCTCACGTGCACCACTCACTAACTCACTCTGGTTAAGGACCATCGGGCTGCAAATGTGAAAATACCAACGGTCCCTATATTTCCGAACAGAGAGAGAGGTAGGTTGGAGTCCAGCCTTACAACGCCGAGACACAGGACAACTAGTATCCAGGGAATTTTGTGTTTCTTTGTCTGAATCCATGCATGGATCGCTTGGTTGTTTGTGGAGAGACGTGGCGTGTGTTGTCGTCTTACCCCCCCCTCCTCCGGTGTTTGCCATCGGGGTTGGGTTTTCGTCGCTTGGCA